GTCCTGCACACCGGCGCTGTTCCTCACAGTGACTCTCCCAGAAGTCCTGCACACCGGCGCTGTTCCTCACAGTAACTCTCCCAGAAGTCCTGCACACCGGCGCTGTTTCTCACAGTAACTCTCCCAGACGTCCTGCACACCGGCGCTGTTCCTCACAGTAACTCTCCCAGAAGTCCTGCACACCGGCGCTGTTCCTCACAGTCACTCTCCCAGAAGTCCTGCACACTTCTGCTGGGTCGGCTTGAATAGTCTCTCTGGGCCCTGGCAGACAGTGCTGTTCACCGAGGTGTTGTGGGCTCTAGTTCACAATGGGTAGAGGACACGTTCAGATCAATCCCATCTATTGGAATGTCGCTGGCTATTGAAAATAAAACGAACAGTTAGCTAAAGAAGGAAATGCACATTCCTGCATGTTGAAGTGAGTGGATACATGAAAATCCCCAACTTTGCTTCAACCGACTATACAAAACGGCACATTTCTGGTCCAATCATTAGAACATAGCTTTTTATTATTATTAATGTATTTATTTATTATTGTGTAATAATATATACTGGACATGAAAGTTGAATTTGAGTGTTGTTTTCATCTTTATGTGTGCTGTAGTAAGCATTTAAATTGTTAAAATTTTAAGTTTAATGTTTAAACGAAAGTAATGTTGTACATCACTCAAACACACACAAGTTCTCTCATTGTTAATTTTCAATTCTTTTCCAAAAAGTTTTTCTTAAAATGTTTCAGACAAGGTTAACTGGTCGTTTTTGTAGTCATTCTGTTTACACACAGAAAACATGAATGTGCACTGCTGTAGAACTGCCCTGTTGTGTCTGTTCTTATTCCTGTTGAAACACACTGATTCTTGTGGAGAGATGTGTTTCTTATTTACATCGGTCCCCGTTCACAGTATGTCAGGGCAGCACACAGACACTCTGCAGACAGTCTGCGCGTGTGCATGCGGCTCTGTGCAGTTCTGTGCAGCTCTATGCAGCTCTGCGCAGCTCTCTGTAGTTCTGTGCAGCTCTCTGCAGTTCTGTGCAGCTCTCTGTGTTCTGCGCAGCTCTCTGTAGCTCTGTGCAGCTCTCTGTAGCTCTGTGCAGCTCTGCTTCTCCCAGTCAGAATCCCAGCCTGTGTGAACATCACTGTCCCAGAGGACACGAGCAGCAGAGGGGCCTCTGGGAGATACAGAGGAGGAACAGTACCGTCTGTTCTAAACCAACCTACTCGAGTGAAAGTCAAAGTTTCCTCAAAATAAAATACTGGAGTAAAGTACAGAGCCCGAATAAATGTACTTGAGTGCTGAATCAAAGAAAATCTACTTCGTTACTTCACATACCTGATTCAGGCTATGCGCAGGGTAGGAACAGGGTAAAAACAGAATGAGAACAGGGTTAGATTGCAGTAAGAACAGAGTTGGAACAGGGTAAGTACAGGGTAGGAACAGGGTAAGTTTCCACAGGGCTGAGCCTGGAGCCCTGACTCTTCACTGTGTTTCCACAGAGCTGCCCAGAGCTGAGATCACTCTGCAGTCTCCACAGAGCCCCCTGTATGCTGGAGAGACAGTCACTCTGAAGTGTGAGATAAAAGGCTCTTTCAGAGGCTGGATGTATCACTGGTTCAGACGCAGCAAGAACAATCCTCTGGACCAGAGTCCTCCTAGAACCAACACCATCACCTTCACTGCAGCGGCCTCTGATCAGTACTGGTGTCAAGGACAGAGTGAATATCGACCACAGACCTCACAGCTGAGTGCTGCTCTCTCTCTGACTGTGTCTGGTGAGTCCAGTGTCTCTCAGCTCAGTGTGAGTCCTTCAGTCTGGCTCAGTGTGTCAGTGTGCAGCTC